TATTTTATTTTATTTTATTTTATTATTTTATTTTATTTATTTATTTATTTTATTTATTTATTAATTTGTTTATTTACTTATTTATTTATTTATTTGTATTATTATTATTTTTTATTTTATTTTATGCAGACAGAACATAATTTATCTAGCAAAAAAAAAAAAATCAATTAGATTTACAATAGTAAACAGCATTTATTTAAATGCAAATTTAAAAAAAGCATAGCCTACATACAAAACTTATAAAAGCATATACAAGCAAATAAAAACACTTAATATGTAACAATGATTAATCAAATTATTATAAAATGATGAGTAAATCCCTAAATAAATACTGCACATATTAACAACACTAATTTAACTAAAAACACTAAAATTTATTTAAAATTATAAAATTATTATAAAATTATTGTTTTTATTATTTTTATTTCACTTTATAATAAATTATTATACAATTATTGTTAGATTCCTGATAAATCAACATTAAATAGTAAAACACATATAAATCTATATCTATTATATTATATAAAATGAAACAAATGTATATAAAAATGACTGATAAAAGTATTTTAAGATTATCAGCTAATTAACACTCACAGTAAAACAAAAACACTATAATTAATGCATAAAAATACATTTTTGGGTAAGATTATTGTATAATACTATTTGCTATACAGAAAAAGACATAAAATGCCATGACAAAAATAGTATTTGATCAAATTATTATAAGCAGATAAAACTAATTAACACTTAATATACACATGCAAACAAACAAAAATTACAATTTCTATAATAATTATTAAAAATGACTGTTAAAATGATTGTAAGAATGAAACATGCCAAACACTGACAATGAAGATGGCTATGTTATTTCATTCAGTTTAGTAGTTAACAAAGTCATGCTAAAAGATTCATAAGAGCAATGTTCTTATCCAAAGCAATTCTTAAGGAAAACTATTACTATTACAGTAACACGCATTATTGCATGAGACTGTAAATTGCAAAACATTGTCTTAAATAAAACACCTTTCACAAACATCTAGATGCCTGTCTCTTTTAAAGTTTACAAGTAGTGTATATAATGAGTTGCATTTGTAGATGTTATAGTGTGACTCATTAAATATACCTATTAATAATAATAATAATAATAATAATAATAGTATTATAGCACTTCATTTAGTTTTTAAATAAAATAATAAACAAATTAATAAAGTTAAGAAATTATTTTATTTCCTTTTAATTTTTTTCTTTGCTACTTACTCAATACAAAATCAAAAACTAGCATCATTGTATAGTTGTGTTAGGATGAGCTGAGCAAGTCTTGTACATGTATTTCCTGGTTTGAGATTAAGTTCCTGCTTGAAGAGGAAGTAATGGATATCAAAAAAAATAAATAAAAAAGATGAGACATGCATGCATATGAGTGTGAAGTATATATATGTGAAAGTGACAATATATGAATATAGGTATGTAAGAATAAAGAATATATATGTGTGGAAGTGTAAATATATGTGCATGAATGTCAGAAAACATGCATGTGTTGAAAAGTAAAGTGTGTGTATAGAAGAATGAATGTATGCGTGTGAAAGCAGAAATATATATGCATGTCAAAGGAAAGAGTAAGTGTGTGAGAGCAGAAATAGACATATGTGAAAGGTGAATGTAGGTGTGTGAGAGCAGAAATATGTATGTGAAAGGAGAATGCAAGAGTGTGTACAGCCCCTCATAAAAACCTGAATAAAGTACATACCTATATAGATGTTTAGTCTGTCCTCGCCTAGCTTTCCAAAGGTTATTTCATTGGCATCTCCAGCAAAATCGGAGTTGGGGTCTCTCTCTTTCATATGGACAGTTCCTATATGAACAGAAGAACCTCTTTTATTAACTATGTGACCCTGAAGGATGATCTGACACACCAGATTTGGTTGGTTTTCCCGCACTCACCCTGCCACACAAAGCTGCCGGGCGTCCCAAAGTACACGTCATTCTCCGTCATGCCCCCTGAGATGCCCATGTTACACATGCCCTCCAGGTTCTGGTCATAGTTGAAGTCGCAGAGCTCGTAAGTGTCAGACTGCCAGTAATCAGACGGGTCATAGGTCAGGTCGTTGCCCCGCACGTAACATTTGCCCACCATACGCTGCTGCTCCTCAGCACCCAGCAGTTTCTTTACATAGCGATGACCACATGCCTGCCAACATGAAAGAAGAGATAAACATGATACTTGGCCACATGTCACGTCACTTTCACTTTCACTTTCGTATGTGTGTGTGTATATATATATTTACATATCATTTATTATAGTATTTTTTGATAGCATAGTTTTATTAATTATTATTAGTATAATTTATAATTATTTATTATAGTATTTTCAGCGATACCTTGAAATCCATCCTGATTGACGTCCCCCAGCGCAGCAACAGCAAATCCAAACCCTGAGCCTTTTTTACCCTTCAGAACCAAGCTGGCCTTTTCCTGGAAGGATCCGTTCTCGTTCATGAAGATGTAAACTGCTCCTCCCTCCTCCTTGTAGCGGTCGAAGTAGAACGGAGCTCCAACGATCAGGTCGTTCCAGCTACATCAACACGCAACCACACAAATGTCATGTTATGTCTACATTACGACTGCTTATTTTCATAGATGTCTTTCATAGCTTTGATAAAGAAAGAGAAACCTGCCATATAGAAGCATTCAGCCGTGTATCTGTTGACATGCTTAAGTATGAAGCTCAACGGGATCTTTGCAAAGGCTCATGGGGAAAGTTAGACATGCTTTGGTCTACTTGCTTTGAATTTACTTTCAAACTCAGTGAAGTGTGGTACAGATCAGTCTCTGTGATGATAATGGATTATTGGGTATGAAAACCCAATAGTTACAAAGCTGTGTAAGTAATATTATGTTTTTTATGCAGTGATGCATTGGACCCCATCGGCTTTTATTGTACAGACATAGTTCTTTTGTATATATTTTATAATGTTATATGTTACAGCATGGATGATGATTGAGTTACACAGTGACTTACTCGTCATTGTTGAGGTCGGTCACCGCCAAGCAGCCGCCGAAGTACGACCCTATTTGTTCCCCTGGGATCATCGTCACTGGGTTAAGAACCAAATCTTGTTTTTCTGCAAGGATCACTGAACCTTTGAAATTGTCTCTGGGAGCCCCCGTCACCACAGTGTACTTGAGCTCGTAAGTGTCAGACTGCCAGTAATCAGACGGGTCATAGGTCAGGTCGTTGCCCCGCACGTAACATTTGCCCACCATACGCTGCTGCTCCTCAGCACCCAGCAGTTTCTTTACATAGCGATGACCACATGCCTGCCAACATGAAAGAAGAGATAAACATGAGGTATTCTGATTAGTATCTGTGATTAGTCATTTTGATTTGATTTAAAATGATTATTTGAGTCTTTAAAAAATAGACTATAAATTAAAAGTATAAGGTCAAAAGTTTGGAATAATTCAGATTTTTTATGTTTTTGAAAGAAGTCTCTTATCCTCAAGGCTGCATCTATTTGATCAAAAATACAAGAAAAACAGCAATATCGTGAAATATTATTGTAATTTAAAATAAATGATTTCTAGTTGAATATATTAGAAAATGTAATTTATTGCTGTGATGCAAAGCTGAATTTTCAGCATCATTACTCCAGTCTTCAGTGTCACATGATCCTTCAGAAATCATTGTAATATGTGACCCTGGACCACAAAACCAGTCATATAACTTTATGTCCTCCAGCACAGAGTAACCTGAAGAAAGAGATGAGGATTCTTAAACGGCAGTGTGTGACCAGCAGTGAAGCTACTTTGAGACTGTAGCTTGCCAAGATTCTAGAAAGTTTAATCACAGTAGAAATGACTAGTGAAAAAGAGGAAAAAAGTTAGCTATTCAACATTTATTGTATAATTTATTTATTTATTTAAATTTTTCTGATAGGACAGAGGAGATCTGACAGAAAACAAGTGGGAGAGAGAGAGAGAGAGGGACAGGATTGGGAAAGGACCACAAGGTGGGATTCGAACTCGGGACATCTGTAAGCGCAACGAGGTTATCGGCACCGACTATTATTTATTTTATTTTATTTTATTTTATTTTATCTTATTTTATTTTATTTTATTATTTTATTTTATTTTATTTTATTTTATTTTATTTT